GCACTTTGCCCACCTGACACCATGGAAGTAGCAAATGAGGCAGCCCTGCACTTCAGCCAGCAGGGATTATTCATAAAAGGTCAATATTTCACTGTCCTGAGGAAAAGCACCCAGTGCAGAGAAATGCTCCCACCAGCCTGGCAGCAGACGTGGGGGCAGACACCCCAAAAACGAGTTGTCCAAGCAGCCTCTTATCCACACATCTGCAGGGAAGAATGGTCATCACTGGAGATCATCATTTCCACTTCTGCCTGTCGCTTATTTCCAGTCCTGAGTAAAACCTCCACCAAAACTGCTGCTAAACTAACGTGAGGTTTTGCCCCGCTGTTCCCTAGAAGCACCCCTCTCCAGATGCAGAGTCCCCGAAACACTTCCCTCAGAAATAAAACTGCACCAAGGGAAACCAGCCAGGAGAAGGAGCCAGCCTGGACACTGCTGCCCGAGAGGAACAGCACAGAGAGCAGAAACAACCAACACCGCCATGGGATATTGGATGTGAAACGCACAGGAGCTGTAGGACAGTGAATTTGTTCACTAAGGACACACGGCCTCCATCGAGGCAGCCCAAAAGTGCCTTCTCCAGCCTCAGACCACAGCTGGGCTGAGGAAGTGTAAGTGGATGCAGCGTCACAGTGCACAGGTGAGGCAAAGGCCGAAAGAAAGCAGGCAAGAACTGAGAAAGACAGAAGGTGAGAATCCTTGGAGATGGCAGCTCAGAAAGACAGAAATCAGAGCCAGTTGTGAAAATAGCCCCAACCAGGCACTGCTGGGGATGCTCCCAGTGAGCTGAAGCCTGACCTAGAGGAAAGCAAGCAGGACAGCTCTCACAACCTCGGCTGCTTTGAGAAGACAGTGCCCTCATCCAGCTGCTGAAGACCACTTCCCTGTGCGCATGGCACTCATCGGATTTTCCAGGACCTGGGAGATGGAAGGAGATGAAGGGGTCCAAAAGAGACCAGCACTACTCACCTAGAAAAAAATACAAGCAAGCACCCAAAGATACGCACTGCTACAGCTCAGATACGGCCACTTGGTGGTACTGGCACCTATCACCAGCACAGAGCAACACCTGACCACTAAATGTGCTTCCACAGAACAGCACAGTAGGCAATGAAGAAGAAATACAAAAGTAAGAAAGCCTCTATATTCAGCCTATTAAAAGAACTTTGTCCTCTCTTTTTTTTTGGTAGACCTCCTGGTATTTACTGCTCGCTTGTGGAAATCCTGATGCACTGGCCACGCTCCCTGCTACCAAGAAGAAAGGCTGCATGAAGAAACGGAGGTTAAAACCTGCTCTGAACATCAGAGGTAACGATTCCACCACTATTTCTCCATTGCAAAGGGGCTGTTGCTCCACGGGCACCCAGCACCAGGCAAATGCAAGGCCTCTGTCCCAAACCAGGAAGCTGGGGGAACAGGAAGGGTCCTGTAGCCGACGCACAAGGCTGAGACAGCAGATCTTGACTCTGGCCTTGGCCCTCCAAAGAGCTTTTTGGGTGGCCTTACCAAACTTTTGATGGCTCTACAAGACTGACCTCTCTCAAAGAGGCTAGGAGACTTAATTCTTTAATGATGTGAAAGTATTCCGACATCTGGAGAGAAATATTATTGAATTACTTTTGTGCCAAGGGAAAACCTCTCTTCCCTAATCTTAGCTGCAGCTATGGAGTAATCTTCGTTAGTGCACTCACATTTCCTGGTGCTACCACGCAGCATCTACTGCAGAGCACAGGCAGCAGCAACTGTGGGAACCTTAACTCAGCATTTCCTGACAGGGGTGATTAAAATCTTCAACCCAGTGTAATATTAGCACTTTCTCAAGAGACTGACAGCACGTTTGCCCTGTTTGCTTTACCAATTCCCAGCCTGTGCAGTAAGCTGCATGCCGTACTATCGGATTTAAGATCAATACAGACCCGCTGCAGATGAAACCGGTGGCACAGAAGAAATGGCAGAGACCCCACTCTTCAGCTCACTTTGCCCTATCCAGATGTTTAAAAAAAAAAAAGGCAATACAGCTGCTCCTTGATTCAGCCTCCTTTTTCGCATTTCTTACTGGAATCCCACATGAAATGACCCGATATTGTCAGGTAAGCAGGGCTCTGGCTCAGTCTGGACTCTCCTAGCACTGCACACCTAGAAACAGGCAACATGTGAGACCACACAGAATAGCCCTTCACAGAATGAAACCCCAAAATCTGCCGGCATAATGGATAAAACCCTAAGCACAAAACAGCCGTGCACTTCTTCAGCTCCCTCTGAAACCATCCCATGCCCTCAGCAGTGCCAAATCCAGTCACTGAGGAAGGGGCCAAGCAGAGATGCACGCCCCTCGGTGCAGACAGATGGCACCTTCTTCCAGTTCTGCATCTGCCTAGAAAACATGATGTAACAAACTGTGAAAGCAGCAGCTATGCCAAGCCTCTACCTAAACACACAGTGCCAAGGCCAACTGCCAGCTCTGCACGCCACCGTCCCTCGTCACAGCACGGCTGCAGCGTGAGCTGCCCCTCTGCAAACTCGCCACCACGCTCTGCTAACTGCACTCAGCTGGCTCCTAACCCTGACATAAAATAATGATGTTTACGTCTTCGTACAGAGCTGCAGAAGGAAAAATTAAAGTCAGCACCAAGAGACACACAAGCATATGCTGAGCAGACACTTTGCTCACTGATGGGGACAGCGTGCACGTCGGCAGGGGCTGGGACAGTAATCGTCCAGCATCTCCCGGCCAAGAGTGCCACGACACAGGACTGGCACCTAACGGCCTGCACAACGAAGAAACCATCACCGATGATGGAAAACATTCCAGATCAATTTCTTGTCACCTGCGAAACAGCATCTCCACAGTAAAAACACCAGGCATCTTTGGCTTGGGGTGGGTTTGAAGCAGCAGCCTCCATCTGTAAGGTAAAGGAGCTTCTCTGCCATGCATCTGCCCAATACATGTCCAGAGCTGTCAGGGTCTGTACTTGTGGTGCTGTACCTGCTTCTGGAAGCCGAAGGCTTTCCTGTTCTACCCTGTAAAATTCCCTTCTCTGGCCCAGAACCAGCTGCCATGAAGACCAATGCAAAGGAGCTACCTGCAGAGCAGAGCTGTCAGTACAAATGTAGGAACGTGGCTCGCCTCAGCCTTTTCAGGGGCTGAAGTTGGCAAGGAAAGGACGGAGGAGGCAATGACACAGTTTAGACTCATTTCCCCTAAATGACACGTAGGCGCTGGCACATGTCCTCTGGGAGAAGAGCCGTTCCTGGCCGGGGGATGTGGGGCAGAGGTGCTGCAGGATGAGGGCTGCTGCCTGCCCCTGGCCACGCAGAGCCCTTCTGAAGCCAAACAGTGCCACACAGTGGCAACACGGACGGCTCCGCTCCTTCCAGAGGAGCTGCAAGCAGCCGAGATGCGGTGAGGAAGAGGGTAAAACGCGACAGCTTCAATCCAGGAGCCCAGAGCTTCCCCAAGAGCTGCTGTCCTCATCCAGACCACAGCTTGACAGCTCGGGAGCTTTGGCAGCGACACAGATTGAAGGTTTCCTTTTCACTTGGTTATTTTCAATGAGGATCAGTTTGGTGACACGGCCACGGCACAGCCCCGGTACAGCCTGAGCACAAACATCTCAGCTGCCAAAACCAGCAGTGGCCAAACCTGGGCCCTCAGCTCCCCCTGCCCTTTTGCTGCTACATTGCTGATCTCTCCATGATCACAAAGCTCATGATCGTGCTTTCCATGAGCCAACGTTTCAAGCAGATGAAGAAATCATGACTAATGGCAGTAATCAGACACAATCTGTATCGCCATTGCTAGCAACCTGCACTTCAGAGAGCACAGCCTCCTGCTGAACAGACCGAGGGCGAGCTCTAGCAAGCAGCTCTGCATTATAAACGAGGCACCGCTGCCCCCCGCTTGGCTCGCTGTTACACTGCCTCTGCAAAAGAGAAACCCTGGTGCCTCACAAACACTCACAGCATCTCAAGCATCCTCATCAATGATTTACGGAGAGGCTAAAGCTTGGCACGTTCCTCTCAGCGATGCTGAGGATGCAAAGGTCTCCAGAAGAGAAGCTGAGGAGAGGGAAAACAACCAAGGGCAGTAACGTCTGAAAAATGCTGCAGCAATGTGCCAGAGCTTATCTTTCACAGCTCCAAGACTTCACCCCAGTTCCACCCAGCTGAAGTCACAAATTCGTTATAAGTGTGATGGTATCTGAGAAGCCCTGGGCCCCACAGTACACAGAGAAGATCTTACCCATCCTGCTCAACCCCCATCCTTAACAGCCATTTTAGGACAGGCAGCCCAGAGCTCCCTGGCAAATCCTGCAGCCACATGTGCCAATGCAGTGCAAGGATTCCTAGAGGATGAGCTCCCAACCACCACTGCCTTCGCCTGCATTCCTCTGCCTGACAAACGCAGTCTACTTGGGCTCCTCTCACAAGGTACAGAGCTCGAGCAGACTCGGGAGAGACACCATTACTCAGTTATTTTTTCCTACTTGCAAAAGAAAGGCACAGGTCCAGCCTCTGAGCAGAACAAATAATGCAAACATGACACCTACAGTGGAAATTAAAACCACAGTTTTCACATTCCCAGTGCAAACCTCCGAGCACCTGGCACTGGGACAAGTGACCCACTTCCAGAACAAGCTCGGAGCGTACAGGCTCACCGTTGACCCTGGTTTTCAGTATCTGACCTCATTTCCCACCAGCAACCTCACCCAAGTCAGAGCCTTCAGCAGAGGCATTTTACAGCATCGCCTGTTTGTGCCTCTCCTATTCTCCATCAGCCCCACCAGCTCACGCTTCCAAGAAACGGATGGTAACAACACGTCTTGAACATGGGAGGCACGAGGTCACCAGCTCCTCAGCCTGACCCAGGCACAGCTCCCATAGGGGAAGCCAAAACACTGGAAAATTTAGCAACAGGAAAGCAAAACAGATCCAGTGTCATCCCAGTGCATTCCAAACACATGACACCAAAGCCAACCGCCGCCTCCTGCAGTACTCACATCGCTGGGGCTGAGGTTCCCAAGCCCATTGTCCTGCTCTGAATCCCTGCCGGACTCGTAGCCCTGGGAGGAGCGGGGGTGGGAGGGATGGATCCAGATCTCCAGCCGCGTGGCATCGTCTTCGACTTGTCGCAGTGTGGACTTTTTGCCTTTCCCTCGGCGGCTGGGGCTCAGCTCCAGCACCTGATGTTTCCTCTGCTCCATCTGCTCAGCCTGGGCAGAGAGGACAGACTCAGATCATCCAGGGATGACAGTTCGATTGATGATGATGTCATTTCACTTACACAGAGGAATTAGCTCTTCCCCCTGCTTTAAAACCACAGTAACTCATCACCAGGTTCAGAATTCGGGTTGTGACACTATCAGGTAGAGCAGCTGAGAGGTTTTCACCTCCAAACACCTCAGGACAAGAAAAGCTGTGTCCAACCCTAGTAGTGTGTGACAGCCAAGGTGCTGCATCTTTGACCTGGGGGACCCTCTGGGGCACAAAGGGACCACAGAGGGACCACAGCCTCTGTTACCCACCCCCACCAAGGGACAAGGCAATGATCACGCTGCATGCCAAGGCCACGCTGCAAACCACAGCAACCTACAGCCCTTGCTGAGCTTGGCTGTTTTACCACATGTGACCCAGACACCAGAGCTTCAGCTGCCCAAACAACCCCAAAAGAAGTCTGAGGAGAGGCAGAAAGGACATTGCCATTCTGAAAACCGCGTCTCTCATCCGACTTCCAACGTGGGATTTCTTAGAAGTAAAAAAAATGGTGACTCCAAATCCAAAAGCCACCATCACTCTCCTATCTGGATCACAGCTCTCCAGCATGGGACAGCCAGCACGGGCAGCTGCAGCACCCCACAGCCCAGCTCCAACACTCACCTTGCGTTTTGTCTCTTCAAACAGACTCATGAGGCTCTCCTTGGCCGTCAGAATGGGGTTGCTAGCGGCCAGACTGCGCATGTAATAGTAGACAGCATCTAGCTTTCTCCTCTGCAAAAACACAACCAGACTCAGAGCTGCCACTGATTTTGGGGCATTCAGGACCAAGTCCCAACATACTTTGCCCTCCCTGCCCCTCAATACATGTGCCCTCTCCTGCAGTACTGCCTGGGACAGCCAGCATGACAAGCAGGGCCTTGAACTCTCCATCCACATTCACAGCTACTGACAACCACCAGCACAAAGCAGAAGCCCTTGGCCAGGTTAGGGAGTGCAGGTGGCACTGCCCTGAGGCTGCTACAGAAGCCATCAACCCAGAGGCTCACACAAAAGTCTCTCAGCAGATGTCAGGGTAAAGGATAACAGTAGAAATACTGAATTTATCTTAAACAAAACAAAACCACCTGGGAGCACTGCCCTAAACAAGGCCTTTCTCCACCAGATGAAATCTCACAGCCATCCGAGAGGCTGCATCCGTGCATGATAAGCACCTTACCGTGTAGATGGCCAGGAGTGCCAGCTGGTTGTAGGGGCGGCCATTTTTGGGAGCAATTTGCTGAGCCTTCAGGTACCAGCTGAGGAAGAACCAGAGAGAAAGGTTTACTGAAAGGACACCAAGCTGCCTTCCTTGCTGTCAAGGGTGCAGAATTCCCGGTACAGGGAACGGGTCCTTTGCACAAGTGCCCTCTGCCTGCAGCAGTGTGCAGAGGCAGGAGCCTGCACCCGGCCTGGAGAGGCACAGCCAGGGCACGGGACAGAGAGAGGTGCAGATACAGCTGCAGAAATCAATGTTCTTGGCTCTGCCAGATGAGCATTTAGCCAGACCCAGCAAACACCGTCCCCTGCACAGGGGGTACAAAGAACATTTCTCTCAGTCCCCTTTTTAGCTCCACGGCAGCTGGGACCAAACCCTCCTTGGCTTGCTCCTCCTATTTTCAAGATATTTAATCATCCCAAGAGAAGATGCATCCATTCAGTGGCGGTCCACTCATCCCTCCATTCTCCTCTCTATTTTCTCTCAATTGTATTATCCACTCTCCAGCTTTCCCTGTTCTCTTCTCCACAGATTTCAGGGCTCCATCCCCCACGCTTGGCTCACTTGTTGTCCCACCACTCTTTGCTCCAGAAAAAATATCAGAAAAACAAGAGAGGATGCAACAAGTGCCAGTAACTCCTGACGAAGCTACCAGAGAATGCAACAGTCCACCAGCCTCAACAGCATGAACCCTCCCTGCTGCAGGACCAGCACAGGACAGCTTTCATGCTAGAGAACAACTGGATCTGCTGGCTTGCAAAACAGCCTAGGCTCCATCTTTCAGCTTCACAGCACTGCATGCAATAGAGGCGTGAAAGATTTCTTTGGCTAGAGGCAACTTTAAGAGCAAAATGAGACAGATCCCTTGTAGACAGAGCTCAGCACCGCAGCAAAGGACACAATAAATACCTGCGTGCCTTCCCGTAGTTTGCGGTGTCGTTTGCTTGTTCTCTGTAGCGGCAAATGTCCCCTTGACAAATCATACACCTCTGAGCGCTGATCAGCGCGTACTTCACCTGGGAAGAAGCATTCGGTACATCAGTGGGACCCGCGCTGCCCCGGCTCACCTGCAAGACCCAGCGAGCACACAGGGACTGTAGAGAGCTACAGGGAGGTCGCTGACACACCAAAGGTCTCAGAAAAGGGCAGCAGAATGAAATTACAAAGCTTCATGGCA